AAAAAAAAAGCCTAATACACTGTAATAGTCATCGTCGCAAGCCACGGGTTTTGTGTCCATTCTATTTCTACAAACCAGGTTTGTGGAAATAGAATGGACACAAAACCCGTGGCTTGCGAACATGTGCAATGGTATTCTCATTAAAAACGTTGATCTGTTTCAATTTGACAAACATCGGCTTTGTATATCTATGGATTTAGTTTGTTCTTAATTTTCTGACTAAAATTGTATTGTAGCCCAGAAAAAATTTAAATCTAATGTTTTTACGTACCATTTTATTGTTTTTAGCCCTCTGATACTCTATAAAAAGATTTATTTTTTTACTCCAATCTACTTTAATTTACCATTTTCTTATTATCTCCCCTTGAAGGATTCCATCCTGCAGCATGTTTTTTAATATTCCCTTTATACAAAAACAATTTTTGGTAAATTTTCATTAAAACAGACTATGCCTGACAATTTCTGTCAGAAAAACAGACAATTTCGATCAAAGTAGCTAGACTTTGGCTCAGGTGAGCTTACTGAAAAAAAAAAAAAGCTTTTCAAAATTATGACATGAGCTATTGAGAGAGAAAGGCGTATAATTGATCGTGTTTAAAAAAGAACAATACTGCACATGCCTGCACAATTAAAATAATTTATTCCAACTTAAACAAAACCTCTTTTCATTCCGTAATATTTGTTTAAAATGGCATCTAAAGACACTGTTTTAATAAAAAAAAATGTAAAAATAAACGAGAGTCATTCTTGTAATTTTATCACCGTTCTTCATTAAAAAAAAGGAAAAGAAAGTGATTTAAGAGATTAACTCCTTATATGTGTTATGTTTGGCAGTAAGATGAAGATAATTTTTATGTTCTCGCCCGATGTACTGCCCCCCCCCCTTCGTTCTACGGGCCTGCCTGATTATAAAAATTATCCTCCTCCTCTCTCTCTCTAAAAACGAGCCAAAAGAGTGTTATGTTTGGCAGTCAGGTGAAGATAATTTTCATGTTCTCGCCCGATGTAACACCCCCCCCCCCCCACCGCGTTCTACGGGCCTGTCTGATTATAAAGATTATCCCCCCTCTCTCTCTCTCCAAAAGATAGTCTCCAGATAGAATAAACGTTATACGTGCAAACTGACTGCGGGAAACCCCCACAAAATATATTACGAGTGACAATAAATAATTACAAGGAGACTAAATGTTAAATATTTAATTGATCCTGACACATGAAAAAGCCACAATAACAGTGAGTGAAATTTATGGCTTCATGTAATTAATTCTTAAACGAAAATGTCTTCATATTTTAGACATTTTTTAATTAAATCGAAAGGAAGAGATAAGGAAGAGATGCATAAACTTTGAAAAATCATGACTTTAAATGCAAAGCTGTCATGTTTTTCTTTTTGGAAAACAAATAAAAAAAAAAAGATTCATTAAACACAGATATAATGAGACCAACAGGTCTTTTAATATACGTCATACTTTATCAATTATAGATATTTGTAATTCTCCTAAATATTTTTTATATCAACACTTAGTGGATAATGTTGTACTACAGACGTATTTAAGAAAACCATTACATTCAAAGTATAGAATACCTATTACTCGTTTAAGACTATCAGCGCATGATTTAAAGATATAGAGGGGAAGTTATAGTAACATAGAAAGAAAAGATAGAAAATGTGAAATATGTATATCAGATGAGAAAATGTCCTCAATATCAAGAACTAAGAATTAAATATGTCAAGAGTTATTATTTAAAAAAAACATCCGTGTTTAAATTACATGTGGAGAAATGGCGTGCAGTTTATTCATGAGATTGATCCCACGTGATTTACCTCTCATTAATATCCATAAGATCCTGCAAAAACTCAAAACATACAATTTCTTTATTTTTTTTTATTTAACACTCAAGCCTGTTTGTTTTTATTTCTTTCAGCCCCCGTCATAGTTATATGGGTAGAAATTCCCGTGATTGACTGTTAACAATTTGTGATACGAATTTTTTAATAATAAGTAGGTCACACTGATGCAAGAAATTGCCGTTTTTAAATTAAGAAGGCGGTCGTAACTCTTAATGAAATGTTTAATCATCTGTTTTGTAAAAATAGACGTTCATCTGCACCTATTAATCGGCGGAAGAACTCTGTCATCTTGCAATAAACACTTACATTTTATCACCAAATATGATAAAGACACTAATCCTGTTCTCTTTCCTTCAATAAAATTATATACTCTCACTTCGAATTTTCAAAGCTGTAAATATTTGGGTAGGTTGGGTATTTACAGCTTACATTTTTGTTTATTTCTTTTATCCGATTTCCAAATTTATAATATATCCAAATTCATATTTAAAAATTGCCCTTATATATTATTTTTCTTTAATTTCTTTTTATCATGTATAGTTACGCTATTTTGAGAGAATAAGACAATGTACGATTTACTGCTTGGTCGTAATTAATTAGCGATAATTAATTCGTTCAATTATGTAAATTGCACTTCAGCAGAGTACACCCGATAGACCGGACGCAATTCATAGCGCTCCGCATTTCTTTGTTCACAACTGTTTATAAACTTTAAATTAAACATGTAACACTGTAAATATTTAGTGTTTGGTAGTTTAGTAGTAGTGCTAGTTGTTTTTGTTTCTCTATTTCCTTTGTTTTTATGACTTCTATATATATATATATCCTGTAGATGTTAAATACATGTATGGTTTTGATATTTATAACAACTCAATATGACATTTTCTTATATCAAGCTTTTTATTTTTAGTGCAGATCGGTTAGAAGTATCGTGTAATTTCCAAATATGAAATAAAAGTTTAGGGTCTGAGATGTAAATTTTGAGAAATGTGTCAAATTATGCAAATTTCAGGCTAAAATCAAGGTATTTCTTGTCTTGAACTTTTCAATGTACTAGTATCTGCAATTTTAGGCAAAGTTTGCTGAAAAAATTGTTTTTTGAAATTTGTTCTAAACATATCAATTGCAACTTATATTCCTAGCGTATATAATAACGTGAAACTTCATGTGGGACCAAAGTTTCAACATATTGGAGAGAACAAATCGGTAGCTTTTGAGAATTTTCTTCTAAAATATTTAAATATCCTTACACCGCAAAAAATAGTCCCTTGAAAATCTTATTTCTAGCCGATTTTGTTAGCAATTTTTTAATGAATATTATTCAATTTTGCATTGTTAAAATTCAAATATGTTATAAAAACTAAGTTGTAATTGATAATATTGAAATCAGAAGTTCTGACTAAAATTTTCTCAAAAGCTGACAAGTGATATATCTTTAAAATTCTTTAATTTCAGACTGGTAATAAGTATGTTGTATAAAATACTAACATAGGAGTCCCATGGACCACATGCTCAGCCGAGCATTTTACGTAAATTATTGAATAACCACTAGTATTAAATTTTATTACTTTTTCAATATTTAAGCCAGGTACAAGGAAAGTATTTTATGTGCGGTGTATTACACTGTCTGATGACAACTGCATCTAGTTAATAAATTCAGGAATTATCATAATGATTCCTTAAATCTTCAATCAGATGACTCAAACTTATCCGAAATTGACAAGGATTCAGGCGCTGGCATAACAAATTTCTTGGAATTGTCGTTGCTTTTTTTTGTTTTGTTTTGTTTTTTTTTTTGGTTTAAACTTTTTTTTATAGCATGAGATTAATTGGCACTTTTTCCTGTTGATGATTAAAACCGGTGAGTTTTGGGGACCATGTTTTTGAAGAAAAAAGTCATTTTTACAATGGGGTAATAATGAAAATTCTAAAGCTCAATTGTCTATTTCATCCCGTGGGGCTAATAAGGGTCTGAAAAGCGACAAAATCTCTTATATATTTTATGAAAAACTGTCAATTAATCCGATACGTTTTTGTTTCAAAAAACCTGTTTAAAAATGACGACAATGATATGATTTTGAAAAGTGTATTTTCAGTGCTCATGTTTGCATATAGAGCGAATGTGAAACACGTTCTTTTGTTTTTTTTCATCACCTTTAATAACTCAAATTTTAAAAATGATGAACCAGTACATTGTATACCTGTTAAAATGAATTTATTTTTGTATAACATCACATGAATCACTGGTCTGTCAAAAGATTTCCTTTTCACCCATCGATCCTTGTGTCAGTTTTTGGAATAGATTAAAAATGACGCTCAACATTTAAATTGCAAATTTTAGAGGAATCTATTTTTACAGTCAGTTTCAATCATAGAATTTTGATCGATGTATATAAAGACATCATTAACGTTATTTCATCAGTCTGTGATCAGCGCCTATGTGAAGGGAAATATAATATTTGGTAGTCACATTGGATTAAGTGAGACCAAGATATATTTCTGGAAAGGTAGTATTAATTAGTGATATTAATTATGTTTTTATATAGGATATTCTGAACAGCAAAATTTATTGATGAAGCGGCAAAAACTGGCGTTAACTGGAATTGTACATATATACACGCAACTTTATATTAATTTGAAAATTCGAAACACGAAAAAACTAATAAATTAGAGATAAATATATTTTTTTCAAAGAAGACTAAAAATAAAAATATATTGCAAATGAAACTGTGAGTGATCACGTTTAATAAATAGTACTGGTTCATGATGAATATCAAGCAAAGCCCTGTCAGATTGACACGAAATATTTTTAAATTCTTTATGCAGACCAATTTTTTATCGTGGCAGCAAATTGCAACACATCGCCGCGGACTTTAAAGATCGCTTCCTACTTTCATTAAAGAATAATTATTAGGCATTAAAAACAATGAATAAAAAATAAAAATTAAAAAATTGAATTTATAAAACAAATACATTTCACCAGTATTGACAGCAAAAGATACTTTTAAAAAAATCAAGCAATAAAAAGTTCCATTGATCTTTAATGACTAAAAAAAAAAAAAGTCGTCAGAAAGATTTTCTCCATACATGCAATATTTAATTTATAAATTCATAAGTATGGTTTTAATATTTAATTGATTTTTTTCAGATGCGGAAGTTAATATTCCTAGCTCTTTTCCTCTCTATGGCGGTGGTCTATGCAAAACGTCCAAATTACGCCAATCAAGGAAGATCTAAACTTCAGGTCTGTCGTTTGGACTGTATTTACGACTCTGTTATGTGTGCTGCTCCATGTCGTCTGCTGTTCCGATCCTCTCGCACAGGATACCTTAGCTGCGCACGTGACTGCGGATTGGAGCGAAGAGCATGCTTTTACGCCTGCGCGAACGCCGAAAAGCAAGCGCATGTCCAGTCGCCCGAACAAGTGGTAACACAGGCGACAAGGCCCTCACCTAAGCCGACACATGGTGGTCATGTGGCGACACACACTGCTCATGCGGAGAAACATGCTGATCATGTGGAAGTTGACGGACAGGAGACAGGCGAATCAAATGAATCAGTTGAAGATTAAACCAAGCTATTTGTTTCTGAAAGATGGACAAAATCTCATGCACCAAAGCCAAATGAGCCTGGATGATCACGACAATCGAAATATCAGTATTCAAGGCATGCATGCGAAATGGAAAAATTAGCGGGTCTCCAACGCACAACAAGTACTTGAGTCAGACACTGTTGATAAACTGTGATATTAACTTATCGTACTTTTTGAATTATTTATTGAAATATTTTAGTTTTCGTTGATATTCAATGTTTATAAATAAAAGAAGATAAAACGATATGTCTATGAAGACTTGAACTATTTGGGATTGTCTGGGTTATCCAGGGTGTCTTTGCAAAAAAAGCACTCGATTTTTAATAAAACGATGCATTAAATTTTTCATTATTATGTAATTTTGTGATGTAGCGGTGCATGTATAGGTATTTAAGTTTCAGAGTATTGTAATGTTAAGATTAATATTTCAGATAATATAGGTACAAGTCACAAAGCCTTCAAAAATCAGAAATGTAGGTTACTACAGCCCCCAAGACCATAAACTGAGAACAGACTTAAATCAACATTTCAAATCAATATAACTTTTGAAAAAATTTTGATAATAAAGCAAAATTTTCATCATAATTATGCTTGAATTTGAATATTACAGAAACCTGAAAATTTTTATGCACATATTTAAATAAAATTTAAGACAATCAAAATCAAAATTTTGGCTTAAGTTTGTTCTCAGTTTATGATTTTGGAGCCTAGTATACGCTTGTCATAGTCCCTCAATATGGAATATTGAGCACCAAGACTGTGTTACATTGACATCTTAACTGTATGAGCATCAAGACTGTGTTACATGGACATTTTAGGTCACAGAGTACCGTGACTGTGTTACATTGGCCTCTATGGTCACAGAGCACCGTGACTGTGTAACATTGACCTCTATAGTCACAGAGCACCGAAACTGTGTTACATTGACCTCTTTAGTCAAAGAGCACCAAGACTGTGTTACATTGACCTCTAAAGTCAAAGAGCACCAAGACTGTGTTACATTGATCTCTATAATCACAAAGCACCAAGACTGAGTTACATTGACTTCTCAAGTCCTAGAACACCAAGACTGTGTTACATTGATCTCTATAGTCACAGAGCACCGAGACTGTGTTACATTATACAATTAATTACCCCTTATGAGGTCAACATGGTGAAATAAGGACCCGAGACCTGGCTCACGAGGTGACCTGACCTGATCGAGGCCGCGTAGCGGCCGAGGTCAGGTCAGGTCAGCGAGTGGGCCAGGACGAGGGTCCTCATTTCACCATGTTGAACTCATAAGGGGTAATCAATTGTTTTATGATACCGATATAAGTTAAGGCAATTTTTGTAGGCTTAATTACTAAAATAATCAATTGTGTATTAGAGCTACGAACTGTCATTATCAGTGTTCCATCGGGATCAGGATTCATTAGTAAAGTTGTTTACTTTTCGCCTGCAAGTCTTGTAAGTTTTTGCACCGCCGATTTATTAAAACACTCTGTGATTGTCAGTAACATGCATTTCTATAAATTCACAAATACCATTCCCGAGCACAATGGCAGTCTGGTGCAGACTTTTACTGTACAAGAGAGCCGAGTCTGCATATTCGTTGAATTTGACATTGTAACGAAAGTTTCAATGAAAACGATAAATGTTATGACGCATCTTAAGGCCAATCATGTTCCGTATCCTAAAAATACTATACATATTTTTATAATGGCATTTTTTGTAATGTACAGTCATTACTGTATGCATAATTTTTTTATTTGAATGGAATTTGGATTAACAGGTCATTTTAGCGGTCATTATTTTTAATGACCGGTCATTATACCCCACGTGAAATGATTCTTAGATCATTATTGTTGTAAACGATACTTTTTTGAGTCATTATTGAGTTCAAAAGCCTTCTAACAAGCCAATCAAATTTGAGTATTCTTAATAGAGGTATAATAATGACTTACATTGACTTCTTAAGTCCTAGAACACCAAGACTGTGTTACATTGACCTCTATAGTCACAGAGCACCAAAACTATGTTATATTGACCTCTATAGTCACTGTAACAATCACTATTATACTTGTACATATTATTTGAATTTCCTGCGTTTTGTCTCTATGCCCCATCTACCCATAAGCCCTTGCAAAATAGCTTGGCCGACCAGAACAATTGAGGCCTGGTCATTCCCGGCAGAGAAGCGTAGCTGCAGACACGTTTCTACAATTGAAGCAGCTAGTGTACATGCAAATAGCTGCCATTCAATCAGTATCTTGACTTTGGCACGGAGACAGGTCCGTGGTAAGTATTTACTTATAATATTATTAATATTCGTTATGTATATAGTTTTTTAGGCAAATTTATTACTGAATACGTATTCGTTCTTATTTCTGAACTTGGCCAGCTCTCACCATTTTACCTGTTGTTCAGTCAGGTGTGACGGTTAGCGAGAGTGTTCGAATGGACTTTTGTATTATATCGATAGAGTTTAAAGGTGTTATTGTACGCAATTTTCTTGTATTCAGATTTGTTACATTATGTGAAATATTTTGTCCATTTAAATTTTGGTTTAAATGTCTGGGCGGAAGTGAATGACCGGAAGTCGAAAGTAAGGTGCGCCATGTTGGCAATAATTTGTTTTGACTTATGTTAACTGGTAACCATTATAATTTATACGTATTGATTTATTTATTTATGAGAATGAATCGCCAAACATAGTAGTGTTGCCAAACATTATTTACTGAGACATGTGACTTAAAAACATTCGTCATTGTAGCGTCAAGGACACTGGTATGACATGCGCTGGATACGTGTACTAAGCTGAGGGGATCGTATAGACACAACGAAAGGTTCCAGACTAAGGCCCGGAAGGATGCTGTGTGGGTCAAGATTCAGTGATGGTGGACAGATACAGATAAGTCAATCCACGTAACATTGTGTAGCTCGATATAAGAACACTGACGTATTGGCAAACCTGATATGGTTTCGTTCATACGACGATACTGATGATAGTGATGATGACAATGATAATCATTGATATGGAGATGACGACTCCAGTGGGATATGTTTGGCATTGATACTTTGAGTGAAATCTATACCCGGGGTTAAGTGGTTAATAGGTTAATTGGTTAATTGTCTGATTATTGGTTACCAATTGCTATTATTTTTTTTGTTTAATAGTGTGGAAGAGTGTGTGGATCAGAGTGTGGATGTTTGTTTGAAATTTTCTTTATTATTATTATTATTATTTTTGTAAATAAATTTGATAAAACTTAGTTGAATTTGTGTGATTTATGGAGATAGCCAGCTTGACCACGTGACAGCCACAGAACACAAAGACTGTGTTACATTGACCTCTTTAGTCACGGAGCACCGAAACTATGTTACATTGTCCTCTATAGTCACAGAGCACCGTGACTGTGTTACATTGACCTCTATAGTCAAAGAGCACCAAAACCATGTTACAATGACCTCTATAGTCACAGAACGCGAAGACTGTGTTACATTGACCTCTTTAGTCAAGGAGCACCGAAACTATGTTACATTGACCTCTATAGTCACAGAGCACCGTGACTGTGTTACATTGACCTCTATAGTTACAGAGCACCGAAACTATGTTACATTGACCTCTATAGTCACAGACCATACAAGACTGTGCCACATTGACGTCTTGATTAACAGAGCTGTTACGGATTTTCATATCCCGAAAATACTGAGACGCTTCTGTTATGGATTGAAAGCCTTGATTTTTTTAATATTGACAATTCACAAATTAAGTTTTCAGTATTCACTTTGCCTCAACAGTGCAAAGATTATTGCAAACGATCCCGTGTTAGTGTCAGAGATAAAGAAATCATAGTTATTGTATAAACTCTGCTAACTGAAATAATAAACCAATGAAACGTATTTTGTTTGCTATGATATAATTAATCAGTTTCGTACAACAGGAAACCAGAAAACGACGTGAAGGCGGAATCAAGTACGACGCCCGAATCGTGCCACTGTTCATGGACTCTTACCCAAACAGCATCTCCCACGTTTAATTCAATAACAGCCATATTGAATCCTGGGCCCCAAAAGTCCATATCCCCACTGAATAGACGACAGACAGCTATGCTGTTTCGAACTATTTCTACTTCCACGGACTTGCCAGCCGCTGAGAGAATAGACGCGTAAAACGCATAAATGCCCTTGACTGTGGCAGTGAACATGCCGTTGTGGTTGTTGTAAGCGTTTCCAATATTGGTGACTGTATGATCATAAACAAACGTTTGTCTATCTCCGGGATTGACGACATTTGCGGACACCCATGCTGTAAATGCTACTGGCGAACTAACTGGTATCCCGGTGGTTGATCCCAGCAAACGCTCTCTGTTTTCTGCAAGCAAATTTAATGTATGGCAATTGCAGCAAATGGTACAATGGAGCTCCAGAAGTAATATATGAAAAGTGGAACAAACCATGGAAATAATGCTCAATACTTACGTGTTCCGCGTCTTTGCTGCTGAGGGTGCTTGCTAAAACCGTATTTGCCAGTGCTATTCTCAAAGAAATCTTTGCCTTCATCCTTGAGTTTCGTGTTTCTCATTCGGGATATTTCTTTCTCAAACAGGTTCATATTTTCTTTTAATATTCGGTTTTCGGACAAAGTGTCTTTGATTTGCGATTTCAGAACGTCTAGTTCAGATTCAAGCTTCGACTGAGCTTCTCTTAGAACCAAGTTTTCGTTTGTCAAGAAAGAGACATCTTCACGCAGTGAACTGCATCCATTTTGAAGGTTATAGTCCACTAGAACCTCTTTAATCAACAGAGCAAGTTCGTCCCTCGTCGCTTCGCTTTTTGTCCAGGGCAAACAAAACTTTAAAATAAGAAAGAAAATCACAGTGTAAACAAGAGAAGTCATTTTTCATTCAATATACACGAACACGAACTGAAGAATTTTGTCTTATCTAAGTTGACCTTACTGATACGGAAATGCATAATAACTTGATTTTCTATCTCTGTGAAGACTAACACCTTAAGAGTGGCGTGCATTGTTTTGCACTGACTGTCGCCATTTTTTTTTTAAACTTTGACTTGCATTACTTGTGTCTTTCACTAGTTAGCAATTTTCAATCTCTCACTAGTTAGCAATTTTTTGTCAATGAGTACATGCTACATGTAATAATGTTGCCCAATTATCATACAGCTAGGCCCTGTAGAATACTTTTTTTTAGATTATAGTATTTTGCTATAATAAATTTTCCTGATGGTTGCCCCCCCCCCCCCCCCCCCCACACACACACACAGACACACAACTCAACTTTTTATTGCTGTAAGATCGAGCTCTGGCAAATTCCAGGACATAGACAGATAAAGAAGA